GGGAGCAGATGGGGCGGGGCCGGCGGGGGGGGGGGGTGCTTTAGGGCTTTGGGTTGTTTGCTGGAGTGAAGTTTTGCTCCAGGGCCTCGCCGGTTTGGTTTTGTTTTGCGTTTCGGTGCAGGGCCTTGTAGGGTTGTTGAGAGGCAAAAGGGTTGGTTGTTGAAAGCCCACAGGGTTTAGGCGGCTGCCGCGGTTCCGGGCGTGAGTGTCGAAGTTCATTTCATCCTCGAAGCCGGTAAAAACTTCACAGCACGGGAACCCTACGAATGAGAACCCCCAAATTAAAAAAAAAACAACATTCTTCCTTATAGGGGTAATATAGGGGTTATTCTTATTATTATCAGTATTGTTTTTTTGGAGGGGCTTCTTAAGCAAATAGAAGAATGTGCAGCCTTTCGGTGTGTTCCAAGACTTCACTCGCCATGCCTAGATTCAGGTCAGGTCTGAATCTTGCACCCCAACAGCCTGAGCCCTCAACCCTAAGCTTATGAACCCCAAAATAAGACCCTCGGCCTAAACCCTAAACCCTAAACCCTAAACCCTAAACCCTAAACCCTAAACCCTAAACCCTAAACCCTAAACCCTAAACCCTAAACCCTAAACCCTAAACCCTAAACCCTAAACCCAAACCCTAAACCCTAAACCCTAAACCCTAAGCCACCCCTTAAACCCCTTTGGGAGCCCTGTAAGCCCTTAAACCCTTTGGGAGCCCTGTAAGCCCTAAGCCCTAAGCCTCGAAACTCTACATCCATCTGGCTTTGAGCCATGAAAACCTCCTGGCGCTTCGGGGTGGATCCCTATAGCAATCCCCCCCCCCCCCCCCCCCCCCCAACACAAAAAAAAAAAACTGAAGGTGGAAACCAAACGCTTTGAAGAAAAGACATCCTAGACCCCTGAGACTGTGAAACACTCATTCGCAGCCCTGAAAGCGACAGCATCTCTGGATCAGCTGAGTTGGGGCCTGAGGGCTTGACCAGGGCCAACGACCCTCACTGCTCTTAGGGGTCTTCAACTACCCTCCCTCCCCTCTGCCCGAAGTACCTGTGAGTCAAGAACCCTGACTACGAGAGATGGCCGTCAATTGTAGGGGTTCAAGCCCTACACTTCAACCTTGAAGCAAAACCCTAAACCCTAACCCCTAAACCCTAGGCAGATGGGAAGGGGTGCGGGGGAGCCCCTTACCTTGAACAGGCGCCCCGATCGCGCCGTGCGGTGGACGTCGTGCGGTACCTTTGGGAGGAAGCGCAGTGGGACCAGGCGCCTCTGCGAAGTAGACGGGACTTGGGATCCGGGGTTTAGGGTTTAGGGTTTAGGGTTTAGGGTTTAGGGTTTAGGGTTTAGGGTTTAGGGTTTAGGGTGTTTTCGTAGTTTGCAGGGGAGGGCGGGGACTCAGATGCTAGGTTCAGGATTTCAGCTTTAGGTCTAAGAGGTGCAGAGACCTTGACGTCTCGTTGTGGGTATTATAGAAAGGCAGCCTCTTGGAGACCACATGGCTTCCCTAAACCCTCAACTCCAAACCCTAAACCGGGTTTAGGGTTTAGGGTGTTTTCGTAGTTTGCAGGGGAGGGCGGGGACTCAGATGTTAGGTTCAGGATTTCAGCTTTAGGTTTAAGAGGTGCAGAGACCTTGACGTCTCGTTGTGGGTATTATAGAAAGGCAGCCTCTTGGAGACCACATGGCTTCCCTAAACCCTCAACTCCAAACCCTAAACCCTGACCCCTGAACCCTAAATTCCCTAAATACCCTAAACACTCTACATACCCTAAACCCTAACCACCATATAAGCCCTAAGCCCGAAACCCTAAACCCTAAACTGAACCGACGCTCTCTAGGTGCTCAGGGGCATGCTGCCCTGACCGACCGGCTCAAGATTGCTTGGACATTTCCTAACCTTGAAACAGGGGTTTAGGGTTTAGGGTTTAGGGTTTAGGGTTTGGGGTTTAGGGTGGGTACCCTTCATGACCTTATGTGCCCCAACATACGACAATAGGAACTACGTTTTGAAAACCCTCGTTTCAAGCCTCCCTTTCCACTTTTGACCCACACTGAAAAACACCCGCATTGACCAAAAGTCTATGTTATTGCAAAGGCTCGGAAAAACCTTCTCAGGTTCTTCAACAGTGAGGGGTTTAGGGTTTAGGGTTTAGGCTTATATAAGATATCGGAGCAGAAAAGCAGCTGCAAAACCATTGTTCAGTCCGCGCTTTCTCTGCCGCCATGAGGTGCGCATGGGATTGGGGGAATGCCTCGGTAGCCCAGGGGTACCCTTGAACCTGTTGTTGGTTCAAGGTTCCTGTATAAAGTAACCATCCAAACAAGGGTGACCTTCTTACTATGGTTACTGGGCTACGAAGATGCTGCTACCCCGAGCAAAATAATCAAAACATTGCTGTAGGCCCTAAACCCGAAACCCTAAACCCTAAACCCTAAAAAGTGCAAGGATCAGAGAGCCTTGGTGGCCTCACTGACAGAGCTGGTCGCAGTGACTTGTCTGGGTTGCCCTCAACGTTGATACCCCAAATGAACGGCTCCGTATTGTCATACGAACCCCGAATGAACCCAGAAAGCCCCAGACAAGCTCCCAAACCCCAAAACCCCAAAACCCTAAACCCCTAAACCCCTAAACCCCTAAACCCTAAACCCTAAACCCCATGTCAGGGGCGGCAAGAGGAAGCGCCACAACAAGAAGATTGACGTGAACAAGGCAAGGGCTGGACAACGGGCTGCCGCTTGGTGCTTAGGTTGAGGGTTTAGGGTTTTAGGGTTTTAGGGTTTTAGGGTTTTCGGGTTTTAGGGTTTTGGGGTTTTAGGGTTTTAGGGTTTTAGGGTTTTAGGGTTTTAGGGTTTTAGGGTTTGAGGGTTTTAGGGTTTTAGGGTTTGAGGGTTTGAGGGTTTTAGGGTTTTAGGGTTTTCGGGTTTTAGGGTTTTAGGGTTTTAGGGTTCTCGGGCTTTAGGGTTTTAGGGTTTTAGGGTTTTAGGGTTTTAGGGTTTTAGGGTTTTTAGGGTTTTTAGGGTTTTAGGGTTTTAGGGTTTTAGGGTTTTAGGGTTTTAGGGTTTTAGGGTTTTAGGGTTTTAGGGTTTTAGGGTTTTTAGGGTTTTAGGGTTTTAGGGTTTTAGGGTTTTAGGGTTTTAGGGTTTTAGGGTTTTCGGGTTTTCGGGTTTTCGGGTTTTCGGGTTTAGGGGTTTAGGGTTTAGGGTTTAGAATTAGGGTTGAGGGTTGTTACTTTAGCTGGGCTAGGGACAGGGATGCCACCAGGAGCAGTTCTTAAGTTGACGCCTCGCAGTGGCCAGGTACAGTTCAAAGTTGCAAAAAAGCGCGGAAAGACGGTTGTCACGTGCGGCGCTGAGTGCGAGACAACATTCCCATGCCTTTGCAGCTTGCGCCTTCTTGAGTTTTTTCGCCTTCTTGATCTATTTCGCAGGGTTTTCTGACCTAGGGATCCCTTGCTGCTCTGTACTTAGTTAAGATGTCGGAACCCGATGTTTGCTGTTGCCATGCCGAGTCGATTTGGGGGTTGCCGAGAATAGGGGAATACCCATTAGGGGGGACCCTTTTTACGGAGAAATACCCGGTTAAAGAGGACCCTTTTTGGAGGGGAACTACCCATTTCAACCAGAAACCCTAGACCCTGGACCCTAGACCCTAGACCCTAAACCCTAAACCCTAAACCCTAAACCCTAAACCCTAAACCCTAAACCTAAACCCTAAACCCTAAACCCTAAACCCTAAACCCTAAACCCTAAACCCTAAACCCTAAACCCTAAACCCTAAACCCTAAACCCTAACCCTAAACCCTAAACCCGATAGCCACCAAGACCCTTCACCGCAAGACCACTGCAGGGCGGAGAAAGCCATCCAAAGGACGAAGGCACCGGCTGGGCTGTTATACCCCATTACCCGCCAACAAAAGTGCCCTTTAAGGGGTTATATATTTTTATATTATACCCTTTATGGGATTACGTATACATATACATATACATATATATATATATATTATATATATATATACACATATAGATGCACCCTTTATAGGCTTGGCTATGGGGATTATAAGGCCTAGTAGCCCATCCAACAGACCGAAGCACCTTTTGGACTGAGCGCATCGCTTGAGCTGTTGGTTTTGGCCCAGGGTGTGCTGCAAATGCTGGACGAGGGCCCTAAGCCCTAAAACCTTTTACGAAGCCTTTGAAGCCCTAAACCCCAAACCCCAAACCCTAAACCCCTAAACCCCTAAACCCCTAAACCCCTAACCCCTAAACCCTAAACCCTAAACCCTTAACCCTTAACCCTAAACCCTAAACCCTAAACCCTTACCTTCAGGCTGAGATCGAGGAGGAGATCAAGAAGCTGAAGGAGGCCAAGCCCGGCCCCCAGAAGGGCCAAAATCCACCTGGGGTTTAGGGTTTGGGGTTTAGGGTTTGGGGTTTAGGGTTTGGGGTTTAGGGTTTAGGGTTTAGGGTTTAGGGTTTGGGGTTTGGGGTTTAGGGGTTAGGGTTTAGGGTAGTTTCATGCGCCCTGACCATGGTCCCTAGCCTCCTTTAAAGGGTTCTGCTGTCTGGGCCCTTAATTCGTATGGGGTATATAAGGGGTATATACGGGAGGGACCATGAAACTACCCTAAGAGGGTTTCTTGGATTATGGGATTTAGGGTTTATAGGTCTTATATAGGGTTTGTAGGGTTTCCAGGGTTTAGAGGGTTAGGGTTTAGTGCTGCTCCTCTTCTTGGGGTAGCCCAAGACTTGGGCGACGCTTTTGCTTTCCAGGTCCCTCTGTAAAAAAGTATCCAGCCTCACACCATGAGGCAGCACAGCTGATGCCCTTGCTATGGCATGGCTCGAGCGGCTGCCATCAGTCTGGCGTTGCAGTTTCCGTGACAGACGTCAAGAACCAAAGCCTAATCCCTAAACAGTTCTCATGCATGGGCCTCGGCAGAAGCTCCACACCCTGTAATCTACACATCGAAACGCTCCAGCAAAATTGCGCATTTGCCCCTGGTGTCATGGTCCCGCGCCCACCAGAATCGCAGGCTCTACCCGACTTGGACATCCGTGTTGAGACGAAGCCTCTGGCAAGAAGGTCTGTCTCATCATTGGCTTCTTCCATCGATGCCGAGCTTCTTCGCGGTGTTTCGCTGGGTCTTGTCCTGGCAGGTTGCGGGAGACAGTGGGCGAATCGGGACGCGGATGACTACCACCTCAGTCACCGTGTCACTACGCTTGATGTATTTTTAAGTCACGACTGGGGTACAAAGCGGTGGCTGAAGACCTTGACACTGCTGGTTCATTTCAACAGTGTACCCGCAGCTGTGGCCAGCCTGGTCATGTGTATTCTTGTCAGTGTGCTAATTATTCTCCGGTTGCTGGAGGGATGGGCAGGGGGTGTGCTTGCCATCCACGCTACCTATTGGTTTGTGTTCCTGTTCTGGCAAAACATCCGAGGCCTCTATAGGAAGCAGGTCGTGTTTCTTGACCGACTCTGCATTGCGCAGCATGATGCAGACCTTAAGAAGCAGGGGATACTGGGGTTGGGTGGATTTCTGGCCAAGTCACAGAAACTCTTGGTTCTGTGGAGCCCGCAATACTTCACCCGCTTGTGGACGGCCTTCGAATTGTCAGCATTTCTGAGACAGGACCAAGCAAGAGCAAAGGACATCGCCTTTGCTCCTGCAAGTATGGGCCCACTACTTTTCTACTTCTGCTGCTTTGAAACGCTCTTGATGACCAGCTTCCATCTTCTGATGGTGCAATATGTGCAGGGCGGTATGATGGAGCAGGATGGGCTGAGCAACCCACGCGACAACCTGTCGCTACTTATGCTGGCCATGCTCATCACATGTGCACCAGCCTTCTTTGTGATAGCACCTGTTGTTCTCTACCTTGGTACAATGCAGATGAGGGCCCTTCTGCAGCTGAGGAAGCAGCTGGATGACTTCAGTATCCGGGAGTCCAAGTGCAGCTGTTGTGAGATGCACCACTGTCACCCTGAGACCGGCGAGGAGATCTTGTGCGACCGGATGCTCGTGTTCGACACACTAAAGAGATGGTATCCGGATGAGGAGTCTACGGAGTCGCATTTGGACAAGTTCGATGAGATGGTCCACACAAAGCTTGGTGGCTTCGTGCGGAACATCTTGGGCTCCGGTGCTCCACACTTGTTGCATATCGTGGCAATGACGGCACATCCTTTGCTTGGATTCTTGTGTCACTACGTCTACTTGGCCTCGAATGACGTCTTTGGCTGGACAGCACATGGTTGGATGATCGGATGGCTACAGGCACCGCCAATGGTGTACCTTGCATTCTGGGAGATGCTGCAGTGCTGGAGGATGGGTGCACGATTTGGTGATCGCTGCCCACTGTGGCTGATTCTGTTTCTTGGTATGACCGCCGGCATTTCATTCAATGCAGCCCTTTGGCTGCAGTACAACATGTTCAAATACAAGTTTGGGTACAACTTCAACTGGCCTGTCGTCGGCTCCCTTGCATTCATGTGGATCGTTTTCATAGTCCCATATGTGTGGGAATACGCGCGGATGGGCAGAAAAACAGAAAGTCGCTAGCTCCATGTTTATGGCATCAAAAAGGATGCCCAAGCAAAATATTCTTCTCGAAGCTACGAGGGCAGGGCCGGCGGATTTTCGCGGTGCTCTGGACGAAGTCACAACGCATCCTGTCCGGTAGCCCTCAGCCCTCACATGGATCGTGCTCATGGTCCCATATGAAATGTGGCAATGCTCTTTTTTCTGGGGCCTCATAAGGATGCCCGGGAATCATTACTAGGTAGGCCCTTGGGAAGAGTATCATATTCAGGAATATTTTTCAAAGCCCTAAACCCTAAACCCTAAATCGTGAACCTGAACCCTAAACCCTGAACCGGGGTTTTTAAGGGCCTTCCTAGCTTATAAAACTACTCGCAGGGCAGAGCTGATTTTCCCCGTGCGCTGGCAAAAGTCAGAAGGCGCGTTGGCCACCCTCAGCCCTCCGGTGGGGTTTAGGGTTTAGGGTTTAGGGTTTAGGGTTTAGGGTTTAGGGTGGGTCGCACTCGTAGTTCCAGCTTTGACTGGAAACCTGAAGGGTAGCGAGATGGGCCCTTCATGTGGTCCCTAAGCTCCTTTAAAAGGGTTCTGATGAGTGGGCCCTTAATTTGTATAGGGTATAAGGGGTATATAAAGGGTCCCCTTTGAAGGGCCCATACTGAGGGACCGTGTAACTACCCTTAGAGAAACACTTGCACAGATCGTGGCTGAAGACCCCAGCTCATGAGCTGATCTCGAGTGTGCGAATGCACGGCGTAGCCTCAGTCTTTGTCGTGTCGTCATGGGTTCGTCTGGGGACCTCCGCCTGATGAATTCTTATTCTTTTTTGGATCGTCAGGGCATGCTAAGGCTGCCCAGCAAGAGTTTCTCTCGCAGGCACGAGAAAAGCAGGGCAAACGGTCTTCGTAATGCCCTTGTAGAGGTCAGAGGGCCTAGGCCCCCCATACTGAAATGAGGGCTTCGGGTTTAGGCTTTGGGGTCTGGGATTTCAAGCCCTCAACCCCAAACCCTGCAAAACCCCCAAGACTATAAACCCAAGCCCAAGCTCTTGCTCTCCTCGTTCATGAATCTATTTGGCTATCAAAAAACACCAGCACGTCAATTCATAAAGGTCTTATTCGGGCAGAAGCTTCTGCCCTAGCCCTAAACCCTCAACCCTCAACCCTCAACCCTAAACCCCAAGCCAAGGCAGGCCGCCGCCAAGTCGAAGGCGAGGAGGAGGAAGCAGCCAGAGCGACGGAGCGGCATTTCGGGTTTAGGGTTTAGGGTTCATTCGGGTTTAGGGATTGTTGAGGGTTCAGGGTTTAGGGTTTGTGGTTTGTGGTTCGCAGTGCGATTAGGATGCAACCTAAACCCCCAATCGTCCTACTTTTCGGTCGGGGGGGGGGGGGGGGGGGGGGGGAGTACCCCAGGTCAGGGTTAGTATTTAGGCATCGTTAGTAAAGTGTGTGAAATTTAGGTGCCCTCAAGAATAAATCCTGGAAAGTCTGGATAGCGGAAAGATTTTGGCCAGAAAGCTCGCCCCGAATATGCCGTAACTGCAATAAATCCTAAACCCTAAACCCTAAACCCTAATCCCTAAACCCTAAACCCTAAACCCTAAACCCTAAACCACCCCCTTATTCTTAACCCTACTGCGGTTTAGGGTTTCTAGGACCCAGAGTAGCCCCTTATTCCTTCCAGTTTCGCTTCTGAGCGCCTCTATACCAAAAGACAAAATGTGCACCCTTTGTATTCCTAGGTCTTTCTTGGGTCCAGAAACCCAAGTCCCGTACCCTAAATCCTAAACCCTAAACCCTAAATCCTAAACCCTAAACCCTAAACCCTAAACCCTAAACCCTTTTTCTTTTGCTAGGGTACTTTTGGGTCTACCTGAAGGCTCTAGTGTAGTTCGTTTTGGGGGGTAGTTACAGCGGGGTTTCTAGTCTGCTCACCCACTTGGTAGCGCTGATATGGGTTCCCTTGAAAAGAAAGCAACCCAGAAAAGAGTGCCCTTATTATGACATGGTTACGGCATGGACCCTAGACCCTAAACCCTAAAATAAAAGAAAAAAACTAAACCCTAAACCCTAAACCCTAAACCCTAAACCCTAAACCCTAAACCCTAAACCCTAAACCCTAAACCCTAAACCCTAAACCCTAGGAGGGTACTACAGAGGAGCCTTCAGGTAGTCTAGGGTTCAACACAGAAGCGCCAATTTTTTCCAACTCAACCTTCTGAACTCCATCCCGCTGGGGGTTGAAGGGTTAGGGTTTAGGGTTTAGGGTTTAGGGTTTAGGGTTTAGGGTTTAGGGTTTAGGGTTTAGGGTTTAGGGTTTAGGGTTTAGGGTTTAGGGTTTAGGGTTTAGGGTTTAGGGTTTAGGGTTCAGAGGCTGAACTCTCCGACTCAAGCCCCAAGCCCAAACCCAAAGTAAGTACGGCATGAAAGTTTACTCCAAGAATCCCAGAGTGGGCCCTGATTCCCATTTTAAAGGGGGTTAGGGTTTAGGGTTTAGGGTTTAGGGTTTAGGGTTTAGGGTTTAGGGTTCAGGACTTAGGGTTTAGGGTGTAGGGTGCAGGGTTCAGGGTTTAGGGTCTCTTGTATCTAGGTTCCCTTGATCAGCCCTTTAATCGAGAAAAGGCGTCCCTGTTTGGATCGAGTATAAACCCTAAACCCCAAACCCTAAACCCGGAAGCCTCAACCCTGAACCCCAAAGCCGAATTAAACCTCGAATCCGTCAGGCCTTTGAACCATTAACCTAGAGCATGTTGTTGGTTTAGGTTTTGTAGGGCCATTTCTGGGTGTAGGGAGACTCACAATGTCCTTTCTGGGTGGAGGCGTGGGTGGACGACAAAGCCCTAAAATGCCAATCCTTAAGCCCTACATCACCTCAACCCCCCAGAAACCCTCCAACCCAATGCCCAAACCCTAAACCCTAAACCCTAAACTCAAACCCTAAACCTAAACTAAACCTTGAACCTTAGGCGTGTTCCCTAACCCCCCCCCCCCCCCCCCTTTTTTTCTTCAAGTCTTAAAGCCCTGAAACCTTGTGGGATCCCAGGCCTATCCGGGATCGCAAGGCGCAGGGAGCCCCGGAGTCGCAGAACGAATTGAAAAGAGCCGGGTGTAGGGCTTTAGTTTAGGGTTTTGGGTTTTGGGGTTTGGGTTTTAGGGATTGGGCATTTGGGGGGGGAGGGGGGGGGTTCTGCCTTGCCCCCCCCCCCCCCCCCTCACACACCCCTTGCACAAAGATAGCCTGCCTTGTCTGCTCACCCCCTCCCAAACCCTAAACCCTAAACCGCCTAAACCCTTAAACCCAATATAAACCCTAAACCCCTAAGAGCCTTCAGAGATGAACTTACGAGAAGTTATTTCAGCTCTGCCGTTGAAGTTGGCTGTAGGGAGTCAGGTCCAAGGCTTGAGGTTTCGAGGTTTAGGGTTTAGGGTTTAGGGTTTAGGGTTCAGGGGTTCCTTGTGTGCTCCCAGTGGCACTTACCTTGCCCTGTCAAAGGCAGACTTGAAGTTGCCTCTATTTTGTTCATAAGACTTGGGGGTTTAGGGTTTAGGGTTTAGGGTTTAGGGTGCGGAGCTGCAATTGGTATTGTAGAAAGGAGTTAGTGTTGGAAGTTGGAAGGGTTAATGAACCCGGTAATCGTATCTGGCTCAAGATGGGCTTGAACAGAAAGCCACAAGTTAAAAAAGAAGTGCCTGGGTTCTTAGGGTTTGGTAAGGGTGTGGGTTCCTTCCCCCTTTCCTTCCCCCCTGGGTTGCTCTTATCCGTGTTCTTGGTTGTTTCTTGGTTCGATCTGGGAAATATAAGTTCAGGGCGATTGGGGGAGTTGATTTCCTTCCTTGGTTGTCCCCCCGTAGGTTATGAGCCCAAATTAGGTTCCCTGCGGTTAAGTGTTCTTTCAAGGTTTTGGGATCAAGAAGCAATGCCTTCTCCGAAGCGATGGCTCCAACTTGCCTCGGATGGTGGACAAGATGGTGGAGCTGGAAATGGTGCAGCTGAGTCTCTGGGTGAAAGAGCGGTGTTGGAAGAGGTGATTCCCGACGCTGAAGAACATCTGGAAGAGGCCTTGGTTGCAGAAAGCCCCAATGTGGGTATGAATCCCAATAGGGATATGGTTAGCAATGCTGAAGCTGAAGGACGTGCTGTTTCTGTACCGCCAAAGCCTGGTGAAAAAAGGAACTGGGATGCGACTGGTGGCATAGATCGTGAAATGGAGGTGACTGTTTTACGAGTGTTACACAAACACGGGTACCAGCCGTCGTCTTCGACTTCGGGTCGAATGGTAGACCAAGAGTCTCAGACCGATCTGATTGGAGAAGTGCTACAAGCGACCAGGAGGCCGTTGAACAAGATCAAAAAGGGTCCATCTTCGAGTTCCCAAGGTGGTGGAAGCGGTCACAAACAGAAGGGTGCGGACGGCTTTGAAGCTGCACCTGCTGCTGAATACGCCATGGGGGAGGAGGAGATCCTACAGATGGAGGCTGAACGGTTGCGACAGCTGTCAGAAGAAGAGGACGAGATGCGACAGGTTTCTGAAAGGGACGGTTTTCGGAAAGACGAGCATCTGATCCAAGCGTGTGATGGCACAATGTGGGAATTGCACCTCCATGAAGATGGGAGACAATATTATTACTGCCTGGATACGCACGAAACCAAGTGGACATTGCCGGTGGTAGGTGAAAAGGTGAAGAGTGACGAGGTGGTTGGGTCTCCTTTGGGCAATGAGCTGGAAATGGAGGCGGCACTGGATTCTTCATCCTCTACTCCGAAGACTGAGTCTACGAGGGCATTCCAGGGTAGTGTAAATAGTTTAGGTGAAAAAGATTTTTCCTCTACTATCAGGGATAGCGGTCCTAGGGCTGATGGTGACGCCCCGACCCCGGGTTCTCCTGATGAGGAAGGGATTCCTGGGAACCAAGCCAACATCGCTGGAGCTCAACACCTGGATCGGGAAGAAACAGAAGCGCTTTCTGAGGGTGGGGCAGCGATGGAATTGGTGGATCCAGAAGAGAAAATGCCCAATGAGGTGA